TGTAAAGTAATATAATATCTTCATATGATTCAGAATATCATAGCAAATCCTGGCTACGAGTCGTATACCTCTTTACAGAGATGTGTCAAGCAATATTTCAAAACACCTATGTTCACTTGAACATTTTGTTGGCATGGATGCTCAAAGCAGTACTCGTATTTACAAACTTTACCAACAATATTTGTACACATATGCATTCTAACAAAGCTTTGGCATTTAGATATTTGATAGCAATTCGCGAAAATCTGAAACTACATACCATTTTCTATTGTTTATATAAAACGACATTTTGTCAATAGGATGAATCTGTCTCTATTTTTCCACATAACGATGTTCTAAACACACTTTGTTACAACACTTAGTAGCGAGTATAGCAAGGCGAAACTGCAAACACTGTTACTTTTCATAGAAACTTCACTTGCGATGTCACAAAAAGTGCCTTTACACATATGTCATATACAAATATTCAAAAGTGTTTTTGCTCTTACTTGTGTTTAGATCACATGGTATGAATGCATAGTCCGCAGATTGCCAAATCTTATACATTTGTATCAGTATTTCAGTTGATATTGAAATGAAAGTAAACGTCAGTTAAAGAACAAAAACAAAACAGTATCATTATTTCTATGGCTGACTGTATCGACGCTTGTACATGCTCAAAAGAATGGACAGATAACTGGAAGGCACTTTTTGAAACACGACAATTTTTTTCCCCGATACTTCTACCCTTTAACGGGGGGTGTAGTCAAAGGACATGACGACTCAATTAGCACAAATAATTATGAATATCTAAATAGAATTAATCCATGTACGAGGTTTAGGCCCTGATGCGAACAAGTGTTTTCAACAAGGCGTTTGGAAAATTGATTTGAAACGGTAAAATGGATTGAATGGTCACGTGATATAAGGAGAACATGTCTTATTTGTGTTTTTCTAAGTATTAGAAATAGAAATAGAAATGCGTGCCCTGCGATTCAATACGCTACGAAAACATTACGATGATGTTTTAAAAATTCTGCAGAGCATTTGAAAAAAACGGAAAATTTACGATAACGTTGAAACATCCTGATGAGCATTTAAAAAATAATATTGATATTGATATTAAAGCTGTAATAGTACTTAGTCTTGAAGCTCATCGTCATAGTGTTAATAATGCCAACACCTGATGTATTATTCCGTCGTTGCGTGTTGCAGATTTATCTTCTCTTGTGAGCAGGTATTGATTGTTACGTCATTGATTTGTGTGAGAAAATTACGTCGTTTTCTCAAACATTGATGACGTTACTCTCACAAACCAATGACGTAACAATCAATACCTGCTCACAAGAGAAGATAACTCTGAAATACGCAAAGACGGAATAGAAGCTTGAGGATGTACCCCTCCCTAACCCTAACCCTAACCCTACCCCTAACCGTAACCCTAACCATAACCCTATCGTACATAGACACATTAACAACACTAGAATCGACAACATTACGTGTGTACTTAAATGTGGTAGATTTAAAAAAAATAAGAGTTCTTCTAAACATTGAAAAAAGCTTATATAAGGTATGCAATGTACACCAGTGCTAGTTAAAATGGATATTTATTTAAGAGTTCATTTTCTTAACATAAACAAAACTTACCAACGGTATGTAATGTACATCTGTATTAGTTATAATAAATATCTACTTAAGAGATCATTTTCTAAACACTAACAAAACTTACCAACGGTACGTAATGTACATCTGTATTAGTTATCATAAATATCTACTTAAGAGATCATTATCTAAACATTAACAAAACTTACCAACGGTATGTAATGTACATCTGTATTAGTTATAATAAATATTTACTTAAGAGATCATTTTCTAAACATTAACAAAACTTACCAACGTTATGTAATGTACATATGTATTAGTTATCATAAATATTTACTTAAGAGATCATTATCTAAACATTAACAAAACTTACCAACGTTATGTAATGTACATATGTATTAGTTATCATAAATATCTACTTAAGAGATCATTATCTAAACATTAACAAAACTTACCAACGTTATGTAATGTACATATGTATTAGTTATCATAAATATCTACTTAAGAGATCATTTTCTAAACATTAACAAAACTTACCAACGGTATGTAATGTACATCTGTATTAGTTATCATAAATATCTACTTACGAGATCATTTCTAAATATTGACAAACGTTTCCCACGGTATGATTTACACTAATATGAGTTATTATGAATGCATTCATTTACTTATGAGATCATTTTCTAAACATTTACAAAACTGATAAGCGGTCTTATTGGTTGTAATGCACACTAAACGATTCGGTTTAAAATACCCGTGTTTTATTTGTTTTTGATTTTTCATGCATTGTAGTTTCTTATAGCTCTTTACGCTTACATTCTCTATTAAATTAAAACAATTTCATGTGTTACATCATCCATTGACGTCCAGCTCCAATGTAAATGTATCTAGGATAATTTTATAAAAATGTGAAAATATCTGTTATATGTCAACAAGCTAACCAGAACGAGTATTACTTAGACACAAATAATGATGTACGTAAATGAAAAAAAACCTTGAAAATACACAACTTTTGCAAGCAAATCGACCGTATATTTAATCTTAACAGCTTACTGGGCCAAGCTGTTCAAAGGGCGATTAGATATCAAGTGTTTAGTAGAGTAAATGTGCATGTAAAATTACGAGTTTTTACCTTGTATATATTCACAAAATTATTAAAGGTTGAAAATGAAATATTTCGTTACACAGTGATTAAGCTAATCATCTTTTGAACAACTGGGCCCTGGTATCCGTCTGTTTCTAACACCATGATACACAGCTGCTTATGTGTCCGGTTATATACAAAGTCAACAAAGTAAAAGTCATACCATCACGTGATCAATTCCGTGTCAAAATGCTTAATCAATCAACAGTGCAGTATATATTATCTGTTCGATTTGCTTGTATGTATATAATTCCACTGCAAGTGCCTCTATTAGCATTGCCACAAGAAATTCATATTGCTGTGAACGCATTTTGGTCAGCGTCAGGAATCTCGTTTTGCACTGACAAAACAGACAGTTTTAATCGAAAATATAAAAGAATATCTATATCTATATTTAGATCAATGATAAGTATAAAATTTAGAATGTAAATGCATGTACTGGACGATATTTTTCAATGTTGATACCAGTATGAACGCAAACCGGTTACATGTATATTTTACATGAAGCCCTAACAGGCTAGCGGAGTTCATGGAATATTGATGTAACCGATTTGCTTTCTTACCTGCATGAATATTGAGAAATATCGTGTTATCCTTATATTTACGAAACAACGAACATATGAAATACTATTGATTTGTTCCATTGTTTATTATTCATGATGATTTATTGCTCATTATTGTTTATCATTGTTTATTCCTGATGGTGATCATTTTTCTTTTTTTCTTAAATCAACAATGTCCCTGTTTAAGAAAAAATCACTGTTTAAAATTTGCTTTAATTTTTCTTAAAGTTTAGGAGCGAAGATTCGCCATACCCTGATAAATGACGCTTGCGTTACATTAGGATGGAGTTAAGAACCACATGTGCATTGTACCATACACTGTACCATACATTGTACCATACATTGTACAATACACTGTACCATACATTGTACCATACACTTTACCATACATTGTACCATACATTGTACCATACTCTGTACCATACATTGTACCATACTTTGTACCATACACTGTACCATACCTTGTACCATACATTGTATCAGACATTGTACCATACACTGTACCATACACTGTACCATACCCTGTACCATATATTGTACCATACATTGTACCATACATTGTACAATACACTGTACCATACATTGTACCATACACTGTCCCATACACTGTACCATACACTGTACCATACACTGAACCATACATTGTACCATACATTGTTCCATACACTGTACCATACATTGTACCATACACTGTCCCATACACTGTACAATACACTGTACCATACATTGTACCATACACTGTACAATACATTGTACCATACACTGTACCATACATTGGACCATACACTGTACCATACATTGTACCATACATTGTATCATACATTGTACCATACACTGTACCATCCATTGTACCATACACTGTACCATACATTGAACCATACATTGTACCTTACACTGTACCATACACTGTACCATACAGTGTACCATACACTGTACCATACATTGTACCATTCACTGTACCATACATTGTACCATACACTGTACAATACATTGTACCATACATTGTATCATACATTGTACCATACACTGTTCCATACATTGTCCCATACACTGTACCATACATTGTACCATACATTGGACCATACATTGTACCATACATTGTATCATACACTGTACCATACACTGTACCATACATTATACCATACACTGTACCATACATTGTACCATACATTGGACCATACATTGTACCATACATTGTATCATACACTGTACCATACATTGTATCATACATTGTACCATACACTGTACCATACATTGTCCCATACACTGTACCATACACTGTACCATACACTGAACCATACATTGTACCATACATTGTTCCATACACTGTACCATACATTGTACCATACATTGGACCATACATTGTACCATACATTGTATCATACACTGTACCATACATTGTACCATACACTGGACCATACATTGTACCATACACTGTACCATACACTGGACCATACATTGTACCATACACTGTACCATACCCTGTACCATATATTGTACCATACATTGTACCATACATTGTACAATACACTGTACCATACATTGTACCATACACTGGACCATACATTGTACCATACACTGTACCATACACTGGACCATACATTGTACCATACACTGTACCATACACTGGACCATACATTGTACCATACACTGTACCATACATTGTACCATACATTGTACCATACATTGTACCATACATTAATTCATGATTGTGTTAGTCTGAGACATGAACAAGGAAACATTACCTGGTTACTGGCTCTGCTGTGTTTTAATAGGTGACGCTGTTGTCGAGAATGTTTTTTAAATATTCTGTTAGGCATGTTAGATATTTATTTTGTCTACATCCATACATGTGTTTCTATCGATCATACTGTTGTTATTGTCCTGACATTGATGGATGGTGTCTACCTACTTTTATCAGAGCTCCGATGTAATTGATATGTCTAGGTTTAAGACGTTTTTCATTATTAAATCTTATTACACACATAAGCTTATGTAAGTATATAACTGTAATAACACAAGGTTCAACACTGCCCAATGTAACAAGAAGGGTGGACGGAGTACTCCAGTTGTCTCCCTTTCATAAATTATAAATTAGCAGTGTCATTTTAGCCAATCAGTATTGGAATAAAAAACAATGAACCATAAATAGTATGATGCTTGTAGCATATATATATATATATATATGGAATATGTTCAACACAGTTCGCATCATCACAGGAGTACGTCCATAACTGTCCGGAGAGCCATTAGTCCAGGCCAATGTCTGACATCAACAAACCACGGCTGTTACGAGTCGTCCTTCTTTACTGTTGTCTAAAAGTTAGCAGTCGTCATTATTATTATATTAAAAAAACCCGGAATAAAACGTTAATATGAAAAGCGGAAAGAATAATAGAAACATATCCATGCATTTAAAACTTGACGATGATATTCGATGTTAAAAGTTTTCCTTTTGCTCACTCAAAACGTTTCTAAATAGATCATTCTGGGGTAACAATGAGAAAGTAATTGAAGAGAGAAATCACTCTAATTCACAAGATATCGGGCTACCCAATTCAAACTGAAAAAAGGAAAATGTACCCTAATAATGAGTATATATAATTGTCTTTTGCTGACTCAGCATATATTTTTTGGTAGTTTTAATAGCAATTATCACCTTTTGTTCTTTCGGCAATTTAGATACATTTCATTGCATTTATTTTAAGAATCAGTAATATAAGGACAGTTATTTGCTATTTTGCTATTTTTTAATTCTTCGTTGTTAGGCCTCTACTCATAACACGCTGTATCAGTAACTCCCAATCTGAACATTATCAGGATAGGATTCTAAACGATTCCCCCGCGCTAAGTTAACTCATTACCTCAGTTTGCACAAGCCATTGATACAACTTCAAAGCTGATGCGCCGATAGAATACGCAACTCAACATATGAGCGCCTATATGATTTAGATGGATATTAAATAAACCGAGTACACTGATATCACGTTTTTTATCACTCATCTTAGGATATTCCAAAGAACAGAAACAAGATATTTCTGAGATTCCATTGTTTACAAACTCATCACGTGTCCATTTGTCAGTACCTGGGCATAAGTCTTTTGTGGGTCTCCGTGACGTCATATTAGCGATTCCATTTTTACATATATATGGTTGCGCCAACATCACATCACTCATTCATTCAAATATTGACCAGAGCTTGCGTAATTGCGTCGGGTGACACAACAGGCCTCATGTGGTTTCCAAGCTTACTATACTGAAATCGCCACAGAGTTTGTTTCAAACGTGATATGTTCAACGATAAATTTTCACAATGGATTCCTAAAACGGTTGTGTGTGACAATTTGAGTTACCATGAATAAGCAGGAGTTTAAACTAACAGCGTCTAAACTACAAGGTTGTACACGTCTACAAAGTAATGAGGCGGATGTAGATAAGGTATTCTAATCTAGAACCCGACCTTATCGGTTTTAAGGATTTTTAGAAGAACAATTCTTTTAAAAACGCTAAATGAATTTTAATCTGCAAAATTGAAAAAAGAAAATCCACTGTGCTTATCAAACGGTTATTATTTTGATTTCGGTAGGCATTTGAGTTGATTTACAAAGTGTCAAATTCGGTTTAATTGGTTAAATCATGAATTGCCTGCTATATGTTTCAATAACTCTAAACTTTGATGAAAATTCGATAATAGTTTTTTCTTATGCTATGAATTTTATAGTTATCATTTGAATTTTTTACTTTTTAATCACATTTGAAAAACAATTTATGCTATGAATTCGATAATTATCCATTGAAATATTTACTTTTAGTCACATTTTAAATTCAGTCATTTGAGTATTTCACTCTTCATACGAGATTTATATACCCTTAAAGATGTCATGATCATTTTCTTGACTATCAGTTAATTTTTAAAGACATGCTAAACCTATATTTTACGAGTATAAATAGTAATACTTCATTCAATTAAATTCGAAAAAGATAGCACAATACCGAGATCGCACTTACTTGTCACTACAGCAATGTAAAATAGAATTTGAATGTAGACTGTAAGATGTTTTTATCATTCAGCCCCGTTTCTATGGAAATTAGTGTCATTCCTTCATTATTTCTATAAATAATAACGGTGTCCTGGGCCCTACTCGTGGAACCCTAACATATTTATATCATTGACCTGTGTAAGACGTTTGATCAAAATATGACACGAAATGATGTTTATAGATTGATGCCGGTGAAATGTTCGACAAATGTTTATATTGAACAAACACTTATAGAAAACCATACTTTGTCCTTTGCACGAACGTACCTCATTGTGAATACGCAATGACGTCATCCGATCTCACCAACAGAAGTCAATGCGAACAGAAAATAGAAAGCCAAAGAAACTGAGACAACACGTAACCTCCCCCACCCCCACCCCCACCCCCCTCTATCACCCAAACAACACCACACAAAGTTAACATGAAATAAAAGCACATTGACTTCCCCCCTTCCCTCCCCATCCCGACAAAAAAAAGAATAAATTGAGTAGTTAAAATCAAAACTAAATAAATAAATAAACAAACGGAGAAAAGTCAGCTGTAACATCGTAAAAGTTTCTTACGGTAGGTGTTGGTGCCTCCTTCATATTCTCGTACCGATCTCGTGCTATTCTGAGCGGCTCCACCATGGTGCTATCAATGATTGGAAAGAGCTGTGGGAAAAAACAGTGAATAAAGAATAGAGAGAAATCGGTGATACCATACAGGACTGAACAGAGAGCAGACGATATTTACAGGAAAGGGATGCTACTGTCAAGAAAAGGAATCTTCAAACTTGAAAAGGTATCGTAATTTTTATGCATATTATACAGCAAAATAGTTAATCGTCATTGTTGATCATATTGTAAGTTCATATCGAAGAAAGAGGCTGAGGTAGAAAAGTCTATTGCAAGCTAGGGAGGTATATACATTTGTACGATTGACCTGGTGAATGCATATCTTAATATATACTTCATTGATATATCTGCAGGAGAAATAAAAAAAAAAACAAATGAAAAGGCTTGTCAGATACTACATATCTAAGCATTTTGACTTAATCTTTTCTAAAAAAAAATGACTCAATTTCAGTATGTCATGCTCGTGTTTCCTCCTGTCTGCAGTATTTTTCTACGAAACCCATTAGTATTTTGAAATTCACATGCTATTTGAAAGTAGAAGTCACTGGTTATTTTGCACCCTTTATGAAACCTGTCGTAGCTTTACAGTATGGTTAAGATTTATAAACACAGTAACTACTCGCCGCCCACCCGGACCATACTTGTACGGAGAGGAATAAGGCAGGTCTCCTCTAACTCCTGTTTTGTTCATGTTAAGGGAATTTTGAAATTTTGAAAACTAGCGAATTGGTATTAGATAAACATAAACGAGTAGTCTGAACGAGGTAGAGTGACTTCTTTAATATACATACATATACCTGGGAAATCTATTCTTGCTTGAAAGCAGATCATTTCAGACCCGTGGGAGACGAAAAGCGCAATGGAACCGAATGTTGCCAAGGGATGTTACCTTACTTCAAATAAGTTAAGGAAGTCAGAAAAGGTTAACAAATAAGGAGTCCAGTTACCATTATTTGAGTAGTTGGTACTATAAATGGAACTACAGGTTAAGAGAATCTTATCAGAATGGTTTAAAGTTTATAAATATTAAAATAATACCAGAGTAGTTCATACTATACATTTGCATTTAAATTAAATCAGTGATCAAACTAACCTGATGGTATGAGAACAAACTTGATGAACCTTATCTGTAATCAAACTTACCTGAGCTACCGTCTCAAACATAGGTATGAGAACAAACTTGATGAACCCTATCTGTGATCAAACTTACCTGAGCTACCGTTTCAAACATTGGTATGAGAACAAACTTGATGAACGCTATCTGTGATCAAACTTACCTGAGCTACCGTTTCAAACATTGGTATGAGAACAAACTTGATGATACCTATCTGTGATCAAACTTACATGAGCTACCGTCTCAAACATTGGTATGGGAACAAACTTGGTGAACCCTATCTGTGATCAAACTTACCTGAGCTACCGTCTCAAACATTGGTATGAGAACAAACTTGATGAACCCTATCTGTGCCGTAGGTTTTGTCACTTTTTCTCTGTCCATGAAAGGAGCTACGGGCAATCCCTCCATTTTCTCCCTGTCAGACTGAAATAAGAATAACATTAAATTTGATAACAGTGACACAGAACAATCTATATATACACAAACAACAAGAGAATAACGAAAGTCCTCCGAACCACAATTCAAACTCAAAATTGATAAAATTGAGGCAAAAAATGGACAAAGGAAAGATTTACAAAGAGACCATTGACAAATTGGGAAATCCCTAACCCTAACCCTAACCCTTACTCTATCCCTAACCCTAAAACAGGAAAGATAGCTTTTTACTCCCATAGTACGCCTACAGCTTTACTCACCTGATTGAAATACTCCTCGAGCAGACAGTCTACCCACGGGTCAGATACCTCCATAGGGCGCACCTCATTAGAGATATCGCAACACTTGATAAACACCATCTTCAGCTAGATAACCCAGAACACAACATGAGATGAGCAGCACAGTTTAATCATGGTTTTGATATTGAACAGTTCGATTATGTTAGCTTTCCTATTTATAATGTTACGTTACTAATTGATAAATATGATTAAAAAATACTTGCTTCTGGTTACCTACCTCTTATACTGTGAACTTAAGGATATGAATTCTTTACAAATCAGTTTTAGACATTTTTCTAACATTACTCAACAATCTTGTCACGTGTCATTTCAGACATATAACATTGTTTTTGATTTGTTGTTTAAACTGATTGACAGGTGTATATGTTTCTAAATGAAAATATATTTTATCATAACAGCACCTGTATTTTTTAACGGACCTCGCGGTTTGTGCCCTTCGAACATTATTGATTACTTGGTTGTAAACATTTAACATTATTGCAGTCATGGTAAGGATAAATTACGTTGAATGTTATGTAACTTTCAGCATTTATGAGGTCATAACAACCTCGCTCCTTGTCATATTCCATGAATATTGTTACAGATACATGTCATTCTTTTGATTACATTTACATGTTTCTATATACTTTTGAATTGTTGATGCAAGAACGAATGAAACAGATACTCGTAATTTTCTAATAAAAAATAGCATATTGCATGTAATATTCTATAAATTTAATTTAAAAAATTTAACTGCACTTTGTATACGTTGTTGTCATGCTGTTGTCATGCAGTATCTTTTTCATTTGTTTTTGCTTCAACAATTTAAAAGAAAAATGATACAATAGACAAACACAATACTCAGAACAGCCTCAGAAACTACTAGTAGAACAGACCATGCGGATAAGATAAAACGTTAGAAGTAAACGAGATAATAAATTCAAGGAGGAACTATATTATGAAAATAAAAATATTCGTGATGTGGAATATTTTATTCATGTTAGATTTGCATTCATTGAATTAGCGCGAAAACATGCGTGTGCGCGCACATTTCCACAAAATATCAAATCTATATTGCTGCATCATTGCAAACACAAATAATTCTACGTACAAACATTTCAGTCACACACAATAAGTCTTTGTCTGTAGAATGAAAAAACAATATGACACAGAAAATTGTTTCTTGATAAAAGGTGTCGTGGTTAACCAAACTGATAAAAATAGGATAGGTTAAGTTTAAAAATAAAAAAATACGAATAAAAAATAAAAAATAAAATGATGACTTTTTAACTACATTCAAACTTAAAAGGCTAAAAAATGATTGGTTAAAGGGATTCAAATTTATGTATTTTACCGCCTGAACATGGTCAGGATCGTTGTAATTAATGATGGGAATAATTGACTTGAGTTTTTCCACGATATCCTTGTGTTTGGCCATGTCTGTTGCGAGTATGAGAACCAGCATCCCCTTGATAAGACAACATGAGTACATACATGAGTACATACATGAGTACATACAAGAAATGCATATTAAGATACGCCATCCAACTATTCCGTCCAAAGTGGTGTCCGTGAACTATAAAAGGCTCATAATTCATGAACTGTTTAACCAAACACTTTAGAGACGAATGATGTGTTCATAAATACAGGTATTCTAATTTCGTTATTTGAGTTTACTATAAGTGAATATGGATGTAACGACCATTTGGACGGATACGATGTAAACAGATATGCAATGCAAACATTATTTACTGAAAACTCCTTTTTCTCGAATATGGAATTTATAAAATAGAATATGATTTCCAATACATTACCACGCATGAACAGAGTTCAGTGCAAAGGGTCTGCATCCATATACAATTCGAGATAACGGAGTTTTACCAATAAAAAACCACTAACAAACATCTTTAATAACAGCACGAAGGTCGTTCGACAAACAGACGTCTGGACAATTCCAAACCAGGTTGCACACATTGATCTAAATATTAAAAAAACACCTAGACTCCTGAGAGGATAAACGTACACTCATAGAATCGTAGGGGAAAATGTTTTGTCGAAAAGTAATATTATTTTTAAAAAATTCAAAATTATGTGCCATTTTTGTATCATGATAAAGTGACGTTCGCTATTATGCGTCTGGGTTTTTCGTAGAAATCAATGAGTGTTCCCAAGGTTTGGTACCAATACAAATAAATATAATATGTGACACGGAGCATCTCGGGAGTTACCGTTTCCATCTGCTCTTTATCGTTGAAGTCAAAGCCTAGCTCTATCTTAGCCTTGAAACATTCCATAATTTCCCCATGACGAGCCATGTCACTGGCTAGTATCAACATTGTCATTGCCTGAGGGTGAAAAGTTCTGTTTAATTATAATTGGCCCCAATGCGTCATTACAACATGCTAACAGCCTGAGGGTAGAAAGCTGTTTCTATATAATCGCCCCCGACGTGTCATTTCGTTGGCTAGTATACTGTCATAGCATGATCGTAAAATGTTATGTAGATATATATATAATCACCCCCAACGTGCCATCTATTGGCTTCTATCAACACTGTCATAGCCAGATCGTAACAGGATATGTAGATATATAATCATCCCCGACGCGTCATTTCGTTGGCTAGTTTCAATACTGTCATAGCCAGATCGTAAAAGGATATGTAGATATATATATAATAATCCCCGACGCTTCCTTTCGTTGGCTAGTTTCATCACTGTCATAGCCTGATTGTAAAATGTTATGTAGATATATATATAATCGCCCGCGACGCGTCATTTCGTTGGCTAGTATCAACACTTTCATAGCATGATTGTAAAATGTTATGTAGATATATATATAATCACCCCAGACGCGTCATTTCGTTGGCTAGTTTCAATACTGTCATAGCCAGATCGTAAAAGGATATGTAGATAGATATATAATAACCCCCGACGCTTCCTTTCGTTGGCTAGTTTCATCACTGTCATAGCCTGATTGTAAAATGTTATGTAGATATATATATAATCGCCCGCGACGCATCATTTCGTTGGCTAGTATCAACACTATCATAGCATGATTGTAAAATGTTATGTAGATATATATAAAATCGCCCCCAACGCGTCATTTCGTTGGCTTGTTTCAACACTGTCATAGCCTGACTGTAAAAAGTTATGTAGATATATATATGATCACCCCGACGCGTCATTTCGTTGGCTTGTTTCAACACTGTCATAGTCTGTTTGCAAATATTATGTACATACAAAATCGACCCGACGCACCATTTCAATGGGTGTTATTATATTAATAGCCCGAGGGTAGAATTTCTGTATATTTATGATCGCCCCAAACGCGTCAATCCTTTGGTTCTTATCAACATACTTGCTTGAAGATAGATAGTTGGGCATGTTTATAATCGCCCACGACGCGCAATTTCATTTGCTAGTATGGACACAGTCATAGGCTGATTGTAGAAAGTTATGTATATGTAGATATATAAGCGCCCGAGATGCGCCATTTCAATGTGTATTATTATATTCATAGCCGGAAAGCCATAGTTCAGTATATTTATTAACGCTCCGATGCGTCATTTCCTTGGCTAATAACAGCATAGTCATAGCCTGAGGGTAGAAAATTAAGTATATATATAAACGCACACCACGCGCCATTTCACTTGCTTTTATTGATATATTCATAGCCCGAGGCTAAAACGTTCTGTATGTCTTTAATCGTTCCGACACGTCATTGCACTGACTTTTATTAATATAGTCATAGCCATAAGGAAGAAAGTCTTGTGTGTTTCAATTTGATATGTGGACAAACATATCACTTATGCATCTGCCAGCATAGATCGATATCAAATATTTTTATTGTTAATAAAAACCACGATTAAATCGAGCCATTTTGGGAAGATCCTCCGACACTGTAGTAGATTGTTTAAAATACAATTCTACAAGAAATATATACACTATTGCTTAATTTGGTTCAGCACACACTTACAACGCTCACAATTAAAAAAACATGTATACACAGTATGCATTATAAAGCAGAAACGAAAAATGAAGCATGGCTTTGCTGGGGACGTACGAACCCCGGACTTTCCGCTCAGTAATGGGAGAAATTTACAAACATGGAGAATTAAAAACGAGGCGAATATTGACTCTACTTCAAAAAAGCGGATATTTCGCTGAGTACAGATCTCGCCGTTAGGGGAAAAATGTCCATATTGTATATCTAAAACTGCATTATGAATGTAATTCCGAGTACACCCATAGTGCTCTGCCTGTTTCCACAACTAATTGATATCACTTATAATGAGCCTATGACAAATGAATCTTAACCAGAAAGGTGATCCTTTTTGCTTGTCAAACCTGAAGCTTACTTTAAGCCGACGGTTTCTATTCAAGGGTCTATTTTGAGACTTTCGAGGCCGTAGCATACCCTCAAGGTGGGAATAATTCTTTTTTATCGCTTCCTTTCAATTCTTTATTTGAAAAGACAAGTATTCGTAATCTGTTTTATCCAGATTTATTGGCATCTCCAGTCTACAGCTGGTTGTGACGTCATGCTGTATTGGGTTTTTTTCCACCTGCTATTTGACACACCCTCGGGAGTTAAAACATATCAGAAGAGATGGACAGATAATCAAAAATAAGTACAACGGGAGAAACTTATTTAAAATTTCTGGGATTAGTTCGCGCTCATGTATTAAGTGATCTTATGTGTAATGAAGTGATGTTATGTCTTATGTGGAAATCATATTGACTGTATAGGACGATTTGAAATAGACATTTATTACATCAATTCAAATAATGTTAAATCCTTATTTGTGATTTTCCATATCATCGATATTCAACGTACGAGAGGTGGTTTCTATTTTAGATTTTGCGCATGTTTGGTCTCCAGCGCGTGATGTCTAGAGGAACACTTTCATGTAATGGAGGGATCACTTCGAGTAATACTATCAATGCTCGACAATCTTTATACCACAGCCATAATTCACATAAAATGCCCCACTCTTCTGTCACATCATCAGGACTTTGAGACACATGGTATCTGATGGTTGAATAAACTATTAGCAAAATATTATTAAAAAATGATACTTTTAGTCTTAAAGATGTCAGCGAATTTATGAATATCCAAAATGGAAGGATTTATGTAAATGAACAAGTATGTTATGAAACATAATATCGAAGTTTTAAAGCATACACAATATATTTCCAAGCTTATTAGTCTTATTGAAAATAATGAAACAAGTTATATAAAAACAATGGTAGACGCTTCAATACTTCTTCAGATATATGTTTTAACTAATACAAATCATTAACTTGTCAGTATGACGAACGTAAAAAACCAGAGCTATGCTTTGTTGTCGCTCCACTATAAAGAACATAATATGAACAAAACTTGTCACATCAGTATTGCAAGCATAAAGGGAATCTATAGGAACGCTGGTTTGGCGAACATAATAACAAACAAATTGTTTCAGTTACTGTAATATATTTCTTTCTGATTAGTTTATGTTTTTGTATTTGATAGAACAAATTACATCAATACTTACAGCGCGTATCCGTTTGTAGACTTCTTTATCTGTATTTGAAAAGATATTGCATTCTGGGTTGGAGAGTATTTTGAATGCAACTGCACAGTGGTGGTTTTCCAAGGGAGAAATATCATTGTATCGGATAGCCAGTTCCGTCCGCGCGTTGATCTGATAGCTGCAGACAAAACACAGGGTTACTTAAACAAGGCTGTGTTATTCAGACTATCAAAAACTAGTTTCTTCAACGACTTGTATATTGGTTGAATTATTCCAACATACAATAAACATAACTGTTATACCACATGTGTTTAGTTACACCTAGAATAAATCAGTGTTCTTCCGATGGTACTCAAACCAGCATGTTAGAATCCCTAAACAACAAAAGAGAATAAACTCAAAAAATATACAAATCTATATACGACGAAGTCTGGCCAAAAAGGACTTAAGAATGAAACAGTATTTCTCTGATGATACTTCAACAAAGTTTATCTTAGATATAAGTACAACAGCAAATATACAAAGTTTATCTTAGATATAAGTACAACAGCAAATATACAAAGTTTATCTTAAATATAAGTACAACTGCAAATATACAAAATCACATCAGCGTCAACAAATGGAGAAATTTAAATGAAAATAATATGAAAATTAACTAATGATAGTAATCATTACATAATAGAATGGTGTTAAAAGCATGACTTTATTTACTGTAAAAGTGAACATTTTGGGGCTGTGGAAACCGTTTTTAGCTTTGATATATATCCTAAAACCATTGCCAACGCAAACATGTGCACGCTCTAGAATTTCCAAATTTTAGGCGCATACCAAACATAGATGTATACTGTTGAAGCTCTATAATAGATATGTATTAATATCAATATAATATTAACTACAAACATTACAAAAATAGAATATGATATTGAAAAGACATAAAAACCAAGAACATATTCAATTAATCCCAAACCTTACATCTAAATAATATTACACATCAAAATACTGTTTTAGTATTATCTTTGAAAAATATACGTATATCCTATATTTAATCATGTTTCGTACAAATTGAGATGTAAACATTGAAAGAAGAGCCAATTACCAAAATCAACTGATAAAGCCTAAATTCCAAGGATCCTATACAAGCTAAGGTCTAAACGATATACAGTAGGAGAAACAAGAACAAATGAGATAGCGCACAATCCCCAACAAAAACGGAAGTAGTATTACACAATCCCGTACAAAAACGGAAGTAGTATTACGTGTTGTTGTAGCCTGGATGATCAAGGTCGTGACAGATGCAGGAGGTGAGCAGTACGCCGAGGTCCTCACGTGACATCTTCTCCCAGAGCTTGCACAGCTGAATCATTCCGTACATCATCTGTGTCACACAGAAGCAGTGCCGGAAGTTATGGAAAGGATTGTTCCGGTAATTTTCCTGCACACAGAGCTGTAGAACAGAGTGACATTAGTTTGACTGATTGTCGAAATAACTGAACGTTCCGAATGCCATCTTTATTTGCGTATGCAATCTGTTGCAATTAAGCCTGGAGTTACGGTCAATATAATGTTTGTAAATCGTTGCCGGGTGTAGTTTGATCTCACAACTATATTCATTAATGAGAACAAAGACATTTTGTTTGGCTTCACATCAGGAAATACGCAGCATTGATATTGAAAACTGCACGATATATGCTGTACCGTTATAAAACATATTTTCTGGACATGTGACAGTATGTGTTTAATAACGATTTAAATTGATTGAAACACAAATATGATTACATTTTTGTCTTCAAATCGCCTCCCAGAATAACAATTATCTTAACTTCTAGGATCAACAATATGCTTCTATAAATTTCCAATTTCAGTAATACAAATTCGATTTGTTTTTAAGTTGACTTATTTCATGTCCAGCTTTGGAAATTAGTTGCAATAAAGCATATCGAATTATTCTATTATTAACATGTTATAATGTAATTTATGTCATTTGTTATTTCTCAGATTTGTACATATGTCTTAATTTCTAATTAACAACAAAAAGTAACTAAATACATCAAATTAAACCGAACAAGAAATGTTTGAATCGAATTAAATTGCAATTGCATTTCATGTATACAACACGCACATGTATACTTGTTATTTTTTGTTATTTTTGTCCTCTAATGCATCATTTCCATATTAAAAGACAATCAAATTTTGAGTTTAATTGTATGATGAGTGAGTAGATTAAGGTCGGATTGTGTTGATCCTAACGGTACGCAAAAAAAAATAAAAAAAAATTGCGACATTTGCTCATTTCAATAACTATAAAGTGTAAAAAGAACATCAGTACAATATTTGAAAACAAATCAATTAGCAGTGTGTGTGAGTCAATATCAAAAACAGCGTTCTGTAACATGTAGGCGGAGCCAATGTATTACGTAACATGATTCATAACACAATACATTTCACGCACACACGCAGGCATACACACATAGGGAGATATTAGCCAGGTGACATATGCCTAGAACTTAGCGCCTGATAAGGCAGCCCCTGTAAACTCCTAAACATTGACCGTTAGAGAACAGAAAGAAGTCACTATAAGATGTAATAGTAAGTTATCAGACAAAAACTATACAAAAAATACAACGCCGATACGACATGGTACACATAATATAAACACGTTGCGTGACGCCATTACATAGTGCGTGAGTACGTAAGGGTCGGCGGACTATGCTTTGTACCTGTCTGATAATTAAACGACAAAGAAAATGGTCTTCAATCGTTGTACACTGTACACCACTTCTAGGAATAGGGCGGCGTGATAAAACGTCTGATTACGAGCATCACGCTGACTGCACTCCCAGGTACGGTGCAATTGGTTGTAAGATAGGATTAGCTTTGATTGTAAAGGAATTTTATTCGATATAATGCACTCAGAACAGATGAAAAGATGATACAGACGATTAAGTGTTATTGATATATAGTCGATTTTTCAGAAATAAGTTATGATCATTTTAAATCATAGAATATCAATTTGTTAAATTTTGATTTCAATAATAAAAAATCTTTTCTATTGACACATTTTCTTCACACGGTATTAGTCTGACGATGGTCATCACAACTAGGTGTTGATCAATATTCTATTTACGTTTTTACTCTTGAATTCATGTGGTTTTATTCCAGAGATAGGAGCCGCATCTGCTAATTACTTGTAATCTGACTTTGAATGGTTTTCTTGAGTCAATCGACGGTTAATATATACATTATACCAAATTTAATTCTGATCATTTCCTTTAATACAGACTAATGCACTGCAGTTGAAATATGTTTCCTTAATTATAAGCTTCCGAGCTTCCAATAGTCTTAATATGTTCGCTTTGTATATAAACCTTAACAGTTACACTTATAAACCTCATATTAAACCAGTGTTACCCAAGCCCTCAATTTTACTATTTACCTGGTCACAATATCACTTTATCTAGTCCTACAATTACTCTTTACTAATAAAACTTGTATTTACTCAGTATCATTAATGCCCTCAAAAAGATACACAATAGTCATTATGTTTCTATATCATGTCATACATTTACCATTCACTTATAAACCTCATATTTACCCAGTGTTACCCATGTCCCTAATAACTATACACCTAGTCACTGTATTACTATATCATGTCTTACATTTACCATTCACTTATAAACCTCATATTCACCCAGTGTTACCCATGTCCCTAATAACTATACACCTAGTCACTGTATTACTATATCATGTCATACATTTACCATTCACTTTTCAACCTCATATTCACACAGTGTTACCCATGTCCCTAATAACTATACACCTAGTCACTGTATTACTCTATCATGTCATACATTTACCATTCACTTATAAACCTCATATTCACCCAGTGTTACCCATGTCCCCTAATAACTATACACCTAGTCACTGTATTACTATGTCATGTCATACATTTACCATTCACTTATAAACCTCATATTTACTCAGTGTTACCGATGTCCTCAAAAACTATATACGTAGTGACTATATTTCTATATTATGTCATTCATTAACCATTCACTGATAACACTCATATTCACCCAGTGTTACCCATGTCCTTAAAAACTATATACGTAGTGACTATATTTCTATATTATGTCATTGATTTACCTTTCACTGATAACACTCATATTCACCCAGTGTTACCCATGTCCTTAAAAACTATATATGTAGTGACTATATTTTTATATTATGTCATTAATTTACCATTCACTGATAACACTCATATTCACCCAGTGTTACCCATGTCCTTAAAAACTATATACGTAGTGACTATATTTCTATATTATGTCATTAATTTACCATTCACTGATAACACTCATATTCACCCAGTGTTCGTTATGCCATCAACCTGTGTTTACCTGGTCACGATATCACGTGATCTAGTCCTAGATTCACTATTTACTGATAATAAACCTCGCCGTAAACAATGTTATAGCTGTATTGGCATCACTATGTATTTAAATTCGATATGACAGCTTCGCCCTCATAACGGATAACTGAGGGCTGAAAAACTAAACGTTTACATTTGTCAGTATACAACATTTATAATTACACTGATGTAATTGTTACAGTTTTTCACAAAGTTATTTCAATAAACATGACTACATTGTGACAGTCGGTCATGTGTAACGGTGACCAGTATTCATGTAAATTCGTTACGGTTTTATCTTAAATTAAATTTCATTCTGAGGAAAAAAAATGCAATATCAATAAAGGTTGAAATGAAGAATGCATAACCAATTTGCTAACTTTAACATACAACTTACCAGCCAACGTTTCAGCGTGATCGGATTAATATTGAATTCTGTCACCAATCCCAACTCATGGTACATGTGTTCAAGGAGGCTTAGCATCTGTAAACAATATTATGAATGTACGAGTAAAATATATAATCTTACCATAACGTGTCACATTCATAAAACTCAGTACACATCTAGCATTCTGGCTGTATGGTAGTCCATTCAGGAGGAGGGACAGTTTTAAGTATAAAAACAGAGAATTTACTTCTCTATAACCAGTGATATTCCAGATAGTATTTTCTGGTTAGTTGTATGCCAATGAAGATTAATAAGCCAGGGTTTTCTAACTGAAGTTCTTCAATATTTCAATATAGGATGTGACCATGATGGATTATTAGCATTATTATTTATTTTATTTTAAATTATTGTTTTTATTTTAAAAAAAACGTTTTTTGAATAATTTCGTTTTTTTTTTTTTTTAAATCTCTCCAAAGATTACGAAAAGTTCGTTTATTAGAATTCTGTATCACTGAAAAACGTTTAGAAACATTGATACATCTCAAAAGTTTTTACATTGTTTATTTTAACAGTAAACTTTACTGAGTTCAGACCCGTGATTAATCCCGTGTAACATTAAAGGATTATAACCTGAACCGAATGCTCTTAAATGTGTTTTATTTGTATTTCCATAGATGTTTGTAGATTAAACAGGTAATTTCCTCCTTATAGACAATTCAATTCCCTGGTATACCGCTGATTAATTGAATGAGCACCGCATCCTACGTTCTTGGATTTCGCTTTGGGGAATGACGCATACAATAGGCACATTCACAGTAGGTAAACACAAACACTGGAGACAGTCCATTTAAATATCACGATCAAACGATGACCTGATTCTTACATACTCTTGATTTGTCCTTTATGCGGCATGTTTTAATCCTTGCCAGTATTTACCAATAATTCATCAAAGAACCAGCCTTCTATTCTAGGCTGCTTTGGTTTCAATTTCCGTGGTATTAAGCTGACGTGTTTCCTGATTTTGAACTTCAATTTCCACTCATATAGAATGCAATTACAATATCGATGCTTGGAACACAGAGAGTACATACAGGGAATTAGACTGTGTTTACGTTAATGAATCAGCAACTAAGACAAACAGAACGGAACACAATATATTGCCAATTAATTAAGATCTGATACGATCGATAGGAAAAAAGGCAAAATAATTAACTGACATATTCACGAATACGCGTAGCAATATAATTCCAACTGTACGGATACATGTTTTATCATATTAACACTATATATATATCCTTTTTATATCCCAGTTTTTTTAAATTTTAAAACGGGAAAAAAATACAACTTTAAAAGCTTAATTGAAATTGAAAAAAATATTAAAATGTTGAAGAAGAAACGCTCTAACAATATATTTAAATTGAGGACAACGTTTCAGCTGAAGGTTTTAAAACGTTCGAAAGCAATGAGTGTCTGATTCAGCAATTTTTTTTTTTTTTTTTTTTTTTTAATTTGAGAGATACATTTGTCTGTCATTTGATTAGAGAACCTGCATGATATTTCATCGAAACGAGTGTATGTATGTTTTTCTATTTAAAAGGAGTAGCAGCATGCACTTTTAACAGGTAAGTCTGTATCCTGTTTGTTAATACGAACACTTGCAGGATTTGTATTGAAAGGGAGTCTTAATATTTTAAACATACTAAAAACTAAACATAATGTCGAATTAAGCAGTTATATGTTTTATTGCCGGAAATACGTTTTCGAAACATACTCGAATACGTTCTAGACTTGTAACGGAAGTACGGTTGACTCGTGCTTTTTACAATCAGGAATTTTGCATCCAGCTTTTTTTTTCTTAAAAACAATAGACTCTCATTACGCAAATAGCTCAATTTCCTGTGATATAAGATTTGTACTGAATTGAAATAAGTTTTTTGATAACATGACGAAGCACGATAACGCTTTGCTTTGAACATGTGTATATTTACAGTTATTAGTGATAATACATGTAGACATCATTGAACATGTGTATATTTACAGTTAGTAGTGACAATACATGTAGACATCATTGAACATGTATATATTTACAGTTAGTAGTGACAAAACATGTAGACATCATTGAACATGTGTATATTTACAGTTAGTAGTGATAATACATGTAGACATCATTGAACATGTGTATATTTACAGTAAGTAGTGACAATACATGTAGACATCATTGAGAACTACATACCTCATTCGGCTCCCAATGCCAAATGTCAAAGGTTGGCTGTTTGAGGTAATCCACTGTCTCTTGGGAAAGTGTGTACTGAGAAAATTCAAAATGTATGCTGATTAGTTCAATATATACATATCTAAATCAACCCTAGCAGCACAGGAATAACATATTTTGAATTATGTTAAATCACTAAGTACTCTGTATCTGGGTATAACGCCTTCTGTAACTTTACATATCGGAAGTAGCGTCTTCACCTAAATAGACATGACCCCTTTCGCATTGAGACTCACGACAGCAAGGTTTTAGCTCATGTTGATTTCAATCCATTTGAATCTAGACGACAGCACAGCGATATATAAATTTATTTAAAGATCCATGTTCCACTCCACTGTTCGTTGTCCCATATACAGTAATCTCCCCTTAACTTCCGTTTGGTAATAGCGGTAGCACATTTGGGCAAGATCTTTTCCGTTGACCAGGTAGCGCTATCGACGAGAGCGATAGTATTTGGTCGGAATCTCAGTCTAATTCCGCTGATATACACTCAGAACACTATTGTTGATAATATTTTGTTTATCTTTATTATTTCTCATTCAAGTCCCGCAACGTATGATGTTCTCTTCAGAAATGATTTCGCAAAGCTGCAGTAATGTAGGGGGGAAATGCAGGTTCACACACTTTGTAAAAGATTATGGCAGTGGAACGGGGATCTTTAAAGCACACCAGACCCACTCAGGCATAAGATGTTGTACCTATTTTTACAACAGACCCTAGTTTAATGACAGCGTGATGGTATACATATTGTATTGACACTAATGACAACACGGCAGTTTCACTAATTGTACTACAGTTCAAGCTAATGGACACGATAGCCATCTTTGTTTGTTCTGCACTACATCAATAGTGACAGCAACTTCTCAGCATCGATTTTTCAATAAACCATCTATAGGTTTATCTCTTTATAAGAATGGAAGCGCTGTAGACTTACAAGGATTAAAGGGGAATAGTTTCATTACCTAAGATAGAATGACGCTACCTTTAACTATCTAGTATTAAAAAGAAGAACTTTCAAATTTCTAGTATTAATGGGCAGTATTATTCTTAATTACTAGCAATACAAAAAGGAATGATCTATTTAAGAATGCTTATTCAGAAATCAGAAAAGGGTAATGTTTTGTTTATCTAGTACCGAAGGGTAAACTCTCTACTGTCTCGAATAGATTGGAAGAATTACTGATTCCCTAGTACTGAAGGGTAGAGCGAACTGTATTGTGAAAAAGCTTACCATCTGCTACTAGAGTCAAATACACTGGCCAAATTAAAGAAGGATAAAAAGACCCGCCTTTTCACGTCGGCATTTTAGACTCTTTGCACAGACGTCATATTCATACACCCTTAATTCATTAGTTTATATGCACATTGAGATGATCATCCTCTCGCTTAATGTATAATGGTGACTGTAAGTCATTCTCTTCATGATATATAACTAATTATATTATCCATATGTTGTAAAGCGCTTTGGAGTAATTTTGCAAATTATAAATGTTGTATTTTATTATTATTGCGATTAACATTTATTTGATTTGATCAGCGGATGGTATGTTCTCTATAACTACGACATACAAAGTTGGTGTAACGTGTCAAGATCTAGGTAATCAAGTCATTCAAATTGTGTTCCATTGATTACAAATATGATATTTTTTTCTAATATTCTTGTGTTCTGCTTTGTGTTGAATGCGTCTCAAATTTGCCGACGCCATTTCCAATTATACCAGCGCCTTTTTATTTCTTAATAAAATCCTCTTACTCGTTCATTTTGAAGATCAAAGAAGGAAACCTACGTCGCCTGGCACCTCACTCAACACTAAGTAGTAAGATTAGACCTCGTTCCACATTAAATAATTCAGTCGCATAGATTACATAATATGGCTCCCCAATTAAAACTTCACCTAAAGCATAGCCAATTAAAGTATATTATGACACTTGATTAAAAGATTGGTAATTCGAACAGTCGACCTTTTGTTGAGCAAATAGTAATGCAACGTTATCTTAACGGTGTAAGTTCGGGTGTGTCAATTCAATGTCACATTGTGTTTGTGTGGCCATATAACTATCCATCAAGAAAAAGCCCTATATACACCATTAATGTCTCTGCTTCTAATGTATAAATCATGTTCTACTTATATTCTTAGTTCAACGTTTGCAAAAGTATGGCTGTGTAAATTATCTGAACAATGATAATTTTAATCCAGAAAAATCAGTTTAAAAATGATCTCCTTTTCCTTACAGAGAAGGAATCAAAGTCTGCTGGTACCTACCTTTGTTGGACGATACATCTCGCTTCTGGTACCTACCTTTGGGTAGGACGATACATCTCGCTTCTGGTACCTACCTTTGTGTATGACGGTACATCTCGCTTCTGGTACCTACCTTTGGGTAGGACGATACATCTCGCTTCTGGTACCTACCTTTGGGTAGGACG